CAGGACCAGACCAGCTTTTGCAGAACCAGCTTGAACAGAAGGGCCATTTGGGGTAGCCTCGGTTTTCTTCATTGGGCCTATGAAAGTGCTTACTTTTTGTTGGGCCTATGAAAGAGTTTTCCCGCATTTGTTGGCTATCTCTTCTCCTATTAGTTGTTCCCACTCCATGGCATCATCCCATTGGTTGTGCTTTTGACACTTTCTATATCTTTTCTTCCCTGGAAGAAAAATGATTGCCTTATCCTCTTTCGACTCCTGTCTCCATGCCAAAATGGGCATACTTCACATGGACAAAAAAGCAAGGCGGAAATGACCGATAATGCCAATTTCTTCAACCTTCGAGCCAAACCTTATCTCTTGTTACTTTTCTAAGTGATTTTCAATGGGAGTCTTGCCTTTATCTCTGATTTACTTATGACACTCATATTGACTTTATAAGTAGTAAATGATTGAATATTTAATAATCAACTATGAATCTATTTTTTTTAAGATATTATATTTAAATTTAAAATTATCGATGAATTTATAGAAAGAGATATAGATAATAATTATATGTTGTTAAAAGGAAAATTGAGACATTAATTTGGATCTTTGTTACTTTTATCTAGAATATATATAATATATATATATATATAATTGTATTAATGATTCATTACAAAAGTGAATGTACTTATAATATAACATGCGATCCTCTTACAGTCCAAACATGTGCCATAGTTTGGCCATCTGAGTCTTGACTTGTGCTTGGGATTTTCTCTTAAAAGATCAAAGTTGAGCAGTCTTATTTTCTTTTTCTTAATACTGGAAATTCTCAAAGGATTTAATTATCTTGTTAAATTTTATTACTAAAGTAAAAGAATAAAATATACATTTGAGAAAAAGACATACGCTGTATCTCCAGAATTAGATAAAATATCTAGTAAGTATATTACTTTCTTTACATGACCTCTCTGTCATACCCGAATTGTCGATGTCGTTTTCATGACCAAATGCTGCTACTTTCTATCCTTATCCAGTTAACGTGCCTGGTTTTCATACATTCAGCTAATCGATGGCGACTCCCATTTAGCTAGAGTCCTGGAACAATCTTTCTCCATGTCGTTTCTTGCAATATGTGATGTGATCAGGCACAAACTCGCAAATCAAACACATCAAGACACGTAACTTTTTCTCGTCATTAAAACTGTAAACATGTACTAATCTTTCAGGTGAAGTGCCTGTAAACTGTGAACACACGCAAACATGGGCTATATCAATATTTCAGGTGAAGTGCCTAAATCTTTGAGGGAACCTGGCTTTCTTCAGGTACATGACGAACTACCCTTGAGAACAGTGAAACAAAAGCAAATGGTTGTAGTACTTCAATCCTCTTACAGTCTAAGCACTTAACATTTGAATTTTTGATTGAACATTTAATTTTTTATTGATACATGATCTCTCTGTTTAAAGAACAAAATTCGAATCCTCTCTCTACTAATCATTAAAAAAAAACACTTTCTTACAGCCTAAAACTCTTTAGAACAACGTAATCTTGTATCCCTGATTCCCTATTCTCATTGGCTTTAGGGCCACCATCATTCAAACCATTGGTCACCAGCTTAATGCGATCAGTTGAGTTGAACTTACGGAATTCAGCTTAATTTTTAGCACATCGACCTCAAAAATTCGTGAGATATTACCCCTTTTTATTTAAACAATCGGCCACCTAACTTTGACACCCACAAGCAACGCCTTGATACAAGCCTTGGATCATTTTCATTTTCACACCAAAATAATCAAAGTGGGGCTAAGCTCAAAGCCAAGTAGCTTTGTTTTCCCATGTTTAGATGATGGTAAGTTGAACCTATCAGGATTTCCGCCACCAGAGAGAGGTAAGGCAGGCAATGACAATGAAAGCATAGCCACATTTCGTGCAAAAAGGCAAAAATAAAAGCAATGGGGCCTTTTCACTAAATTTTTGTAATGTGCCACAAGCTGATTTGTCGACGTTGGTTCTCGTTTGTTAGAACTTACCAGGAAGATCTGTCTGAATCCATGAGTTGTATTTAAAATAATTTACCTCTTCTGTTCTGCGAGTAATTTGTGTGCATGATAGCTGCTGAAAAAATGATTAAATGTAGAGTTGGTAGAGGGGAGTGAAAGCTTTTGACCCAGGGAAGACTGGTCGATTCTTAATTTTCTTCCCAGAGAAACAGAGATCCAATCAGGAAAAATGCTCTCAGACATCTTGTTTTCGCATTGATCCAACCTGGAAGAATGTCTCAGGTGTCACGCATCTTCTTCCCCACTTCTGCCATGATTGGTTGAGAGCCATTGCAAGTTAGTTGAACTTTGAAGACTGCACTCCTTTTTCTTGGTTCTGTTAAGATTGTTCGATAAATATTAAACCTCCAATCAACAAACCCCAGGTAGTTTTGTCTTTTTACCCTTCTTTTTCTCATCAAAGAAAGCAACAAAATATTGCAATAAGATGCCGACGATCACACCTTAGCTTTGTGCATCCAAAAAAAGCCAAAATAACTTCGTAAAAGTTAAAAGAACTTCTCATCCAACACTCCACAATCAGTATCTATTATCTGTGTGCAAAACCCAAAGCCATACATTACTGTACTAATCACAAAAGTATTTACAAATTCTCAACCTCAAACCTATCTTTCCAGAATAGATAGAAAAAGAAAAAGTGGTAAACAAGGAAAATTTCCCTAACTTCTACTTGTTGTTAGGCTGTCTGTGGCACTTGGTTTTCACATGCTTCTCCCTCTATTTTAACGTTGCTACCATTGTTGAAACTGTCACCTTGCCATGTCCAAACAATGTCTTTCAATGCAGGCCTAACATCATCCTCGCAAAACTTGGCATACTCCAAGGTGTCACCGCTAGACTTGGAAAACTCGACAACCGCAACCTCTGGTGCCACCTCAAACACCTCCGCCGTCAGGGATAGGCGCCCTTTCCTCCCCTCGGATGAGCCTTGTAGCTTCATCTTGAAGTCCCTCACTTTCCCCACCTTGAAGTTCAACCCTTTTGCAACACCTTCAATTTTAGCCATGATGGCACTAGCTGAACACCTCGACGTGAACATTGTCCCCGATTTCCTCTTGTTTTCAAACAAACTTGACAAATCAAAGCCTGATGACATAGAGGAAATAAACTCGAATGCGTTGAAAAATTTCGGAGACGATTGTTTGTTGGTCTTGGAGGTAGAATCATCGTCCAATACATGATCTGACATTGGTTCTTCGATTGAAAACGCAAGGTGACGCGCAAATCCATTTCTAAACCAAGGAACACGCATTATAGCTGGAATTGTGATCCTTCTTTCAGGGTCTGCAACTAGTAGTTTAGAGATCAAGCGCTTTGCTTCTGTTGAAAACCAGGGAGGGAACTCAAATTCAGCTTTGAAAACTTTCCTGTACATCTTCATGAGATTCTCATCTTGAAAAGGCAAGAAACCTGCAAGAAGAACATACAAGATAACCCCACAAGACCAGATATCTGCTTTGGATCCATCGTAGCCTTTTTTCCTCAAAACCTCTGGGGCAACGTAAGCTGGAGTCCCACACTGCGTGTGGAGTAGGCCATCATTGCGAAGCTGTTCGGGCAACGCTGACAGGCCAAAATCAGAGATCTTTAGATTTTCGTTCTCGTCCAAAAGAAGGTTCTCTGGCTTCAAATCTCGGTGTGAGACACCCCTGCTGTGGCAGAAATCAACTGCGCTGATTAGTTGTTGAAAGTACTTACGAGCAACATCTTCCTTGAGTTTGCCCTTAGCGACTTTTGCAAACAGCTCACCTCCACGGACATACTCCATGACAAAGAAGATCTTTGTTTTCGTAGCCATGACTTCTTTGAGCTCCACTATGTTTGGATGACGGACAAGGCGCATGACAGAGATTTCTCTCTTGATCTGCTCCATCATCCCTTCTTTCTTCACTTGATCTTTGCTGATGACTTTTATCGCCACACTTTCACCGCTTGTTAGTTCCTTCCCATAGTAGACTTTAGCGAATGTTCCTTTCCCAAGCAGTCTCCCCATCTCATATTTCCCAAACAAGACATGCCTCTCCTCCATGACAGTTCCCCCTTATATCCTCTTTTTCTCTCTACACAATAAAATTTGCTAACTCTTTTGGCTCTGCTCCTACTGAAATTTTTGCTTTAACATGGATTCAAGGCTGCTTGTGTGGCTCTGCAAAGATGTGTAACGTAAGGGAATCCAGGAAAGGATAGAGGATATGCTGATTTGGAAAGATTCCATTGATTCACTTGATCAGGAGATTGTGGTGGGGTTCAACGGAGCTGATTAACGAGAGTGTTCAGTGGAAGGGCATTTGGGTGAAGGGGATTTGAAGGGTAGTTTAGAAGATGCCATTAGAGCACCTGGTATTGTCTTTTTGGAAGACCTGGGGCTGCCGCAAGAGCACACAGAATGAAAATCTCACAAAAATCTTTCCAAAAGAATACCGGTATAAATATGAAGACGCGTTGATGGTGAGGGTTACAACAAACCATTATAGACTAATAAACTTTACGTCTCTGTTAACTTTTTTATCTTCAAGTAAATTCATTTTCTGTTCCCGTGGCCCGCATATTCTTTTCTTTTCTTTTCTTTTGCGCTGCCTTTTGGCTTTATTGCCCTGTTCCTCTGGCTAGAATTTTCTGTTCAGTGGATCAGCAGCCGAGGTTTGTTTTTGGTCATATGCCGATAGTAAACTAGTCTACCATTTCTCTTTTTAACTCAATCCACAAGAACATGATTGAAAATTTTTGTATCTCTTTTGTAACTTTACGTCTCATGTATAATTTTTTGTTTTAAATCTTAAACTTTAAACTGTAAAACTTAAATCTTAATATGAAAAGTTTAGAAGATAAGTGATGCAAAATTATGAAAAAACATAAAACAAAACACTAAAAGAAAGCAGACGATTTCTATTCAAAATGATTTGATTTTATTTCTTGTATGAGTGTAAATGGGTTGATATTATAGGTATATTTACAAATATTCGATCCAATATCATAAAATTTAAATATTTTATATTTGATTATGAAATAAGTTCGGGTAAAATTTCAATACTCGATTTAGATTCGGATAAATTTTGAATATCACCCTTAATTTCTTGGACTGTTTCAAGAAGATATTTCTAACTTGTTACAAAAATTTAAATTGGTTGCCGACCTAGAAAGGATTCTTGCAAGTTGTTAGTACTAATTATTATAATTCACTATGTGAGCGTTGAATGAATAAAATAGGAACCCTAATATGAAGTGTTCATGGGAAAAAATAAATGGGCAATACCCGAAGTCCAAAACCTGAGCTGGGCCATTACCATTAGGCAAAGCTGGCAAAGAATGATCTCACAAGAAAGCTCCATTTTCAATCCTAAGATAAATGCAAAAGCTCAGTGGCAACATGCAGCTATGATTCAGATTTGACTTTATATGAATTTGGGATGCTTATTGATTCAGATTTGGGGAAAAAAAAATTAAAGAAGAAGGCTTCCAAGTTCCACCAAGGGTTTGCACAAGCACATGAATTTTAAGCCTAAGCAATGTTAATTTCTTTTGTTTTCTTCCCATGATTTCTGTTGAATTTCTCTGTTTGATCTTGGGGTTTGATTAAGTCCACTAATTATTGCTACCCTAAAGTCAAATTAGCAATAACCATTCTGGACAGTTGATTAATATACGGTGCAATACATCCTCTCGATACACATATGTGCAAATATTTTGATTTTCGATTCTGTTTATTCATTAGAATTATTTACAATAAATATTCAAAAACATCTAATTCAGTAAATAATAATAATAATAAACTTTGATAAGATCACGGGCCATTGAGTGTATAGGCATTGAAAAAGGATATATTTTTAAATTGACCCAAGAAGCCCAAGATAGGCCTACAAGCTGGGACAACAAGGTGGCAGTGGTGGCTTTACAACGCATAACTTGACCAAGGGGATTATCATTTTTGGACTATTCGATCTGTTTAAGCAACTCTTTAATTAATTGATAACAAATCTTGTCAAAGGGTTAAAATCATTCCACATGCAGTACATCTTAAGGCAATGATTAATTATTAGATTCACCTAAATCACCCACTGCTCCCTCAATATGATGGCCTTTTTTATGAAAATTAAAATAAAAGAATACTTAAAAAAGAGTTCTTTAATTAAACTATATATTCCCTTTTATATATATATATATATATAATTCTTCAATTTGTTTCTATCTGATTTTCCTTTCTGAAATTCATTAATACATAACCAATCGACATCTTCATCTAAATCCAACCCTTATTCTTTTATTTTAATTTTCATAAAAAATAAAAAAATACAAATGATTAAAAATAGAATGAGCAATAGAAAAATATATCATATCTACAAGCGGAAGAGGCCCGTAGCTACTACGATATGATCGATGTAAAATGTCTATGCAATGGGTTTTTATTCTATTTTGAAATAATTAAGTTTTTAATTATGAAGTTGACTCAAACCCAAGCAGCACTATCATTTTTTTAATTTTTTTTAATGAAAGTGGAAGAAGATTTTTAAATTAGAACATAATACCAACTAATATTTGAGAACAAGTCGATGTTTCATTATTTTGGAGCAATCAAAAATTTAAGGCAAACCTGACCAATTACCCACTAAAATGCATAATTGAACTAACCTTTCTAACGTTATTTAAAGCAATATTCCTCCATAGTCCACATCATAACAACTTATTCCCTCATTTTATTTTGCATAAATTTGATAAAAAAGCTCATTTTTTCACAATTTTTGCAATTCTGTTTTTTTGGGTAATCAATATAAATTAGATCAAATCAGTGTTCATTTACATTTTAAAGCGTATTTATTATGACTAATCTTCGAATTTTATTGAAGAAATAAATATCAATAAAGCTAAACAAAGATAGCTCATCTGTAATCATCTCAGCCCCTCAGCCTGCCGTGGCCCCCGCCGGCAGGTAGGCTCCTCGGCCGTTGTTTCCGGGCCCTGTCAACTTCATCACCTTGCCATCATCAATACGCTTGGTCTTGAGTTATATCAACGAATTAATTCATTCTTACTTCGAACAAATAAAAAATAAAAAGGTAGAAAATAGTACTTAATATGTTGGAAGTGCTTCTAGTCCATCACTCATCAAACCATTGTCATGTCGTATAGACAATTGATTGATTATTACTATTTTTTTGGAGTGAGTATTAATGGGTGTAAATCGAAATAATCAAGTAAAATTGATTGAATTTGATTAATTTGATTTGGGTTTTTTAATTTTGTATTAATTGAAGGTTAATATATTTGATTATTTCAATTTTTTTAGTGTTTAAATTTTTAATCGAATGAAGCAAAAATAGATCATTAAGCAATATGTATTTTTAAATATAAATACACGATTAAATTAGAGATATTTAGACTTTATTAGTGAAACATTATTGAAAAAAAAACAGAGTTTTTAAAATCTAATTTGTATACAAATATTATTAACATTATTAATATTTAAAATCGATCAATTTGTGATTTTAAGATACACTTTGATTTTTAATTATTTTTTATGAAAAATCAATTAATTTAATTTTTAAAATTTTAAAACCAAACCTACAAAATAGATCGAATGGTGATCTTTAATTATCATTGAGGTATAACAAGATAGCATCAATATCACCCCCACATTCAAATGAAGTTTAATGGATACACCATCAATTATAAACTATGTCACCCAATTAAAACCAGTGTTCTCTTTAGGATTTTGAATTTTTCCATGGAAATTGCCTTTTAATTATTGGTTTTCAAAAGAAAAAATAAATTGCCTTTTATTAGTTTCAAACTTGAGGGGGACCAAGAAGAAATTGCCATCAATCCCATGTTGACAATTGGTCAATTCTTGTAAAAGTTGAACTGGGTCTCCACAACTTAGAGCATGCCCCATATTCCAACTTGACATGATGTTCCAATTTCTTGGTGAATTATTTTAATATTTGTTCTTTTAGATTCAGCTAATATTCTAACATTGATGTTTTTGTCCCAATGCAATTAGGTCCCACAATACCTTAGCTTAATGAATGCCATTTACCCTTTCTCACGTACATATATTAAATAAATCTATTATTCTACTCGGTATAACCCAAAATTACAACTCCATTAACATTGCATAAACTTTTTCTTAAAGCTCTAATTCCAAACTCAAATTTACATAACTTCGAAATTACAAAAAAAATAATAAAAAATGGTTAACAACACTCTACGTCACAAATTGATTAATAAACCCGAATAGTATTATTACTTGATCACAAAATGTTACAAACATTCAGGTAATCTATTTTTTTTTTCTGTAACGCATGCACGGATTGATTGATTCCCTATTATTATCATTATGAAAGAATTTTTTTTAAATGCAATTCATACTTAAAAATACAGCCATATCAATGGATCTTTGTTGCATTATTATTATTATTATTATTATCAGTAGTAGTAGTAGTAGAGAGGATGAGACAAGAACAGTTTGGTGCCGAAATGGTCACGTCAGTAACCATCCAGAACCCAATAATTCAGTAAGATAATGCATCATCCTCCACCAAAACCATTGAATCTTTGACAGTAGGTTGATACCTGATGGTCCGAAGGATCCACGTGGCTGCACTCGTTTGAAGAGGGGGCTAGCTTCAACACAACAGCAGCTACTGTTTTATGAGTCATGTTCTGCGCTGAAAGCATGTCGTTTCCATTGCGAGTGGGGGACCCAAGGTTCCGATTTGATGGAGCTGGGACTGGGAGTGGGCAAGGTGGCGTCGGGGCAATCCGTTGGCTATCCTGGATCGATGTCAAGAAATGTAAAGCAAGCACGAATAATTGGAGGTTGGAAAGGGAAAATAATTTGTTTTGATTGCCCCAAAGCATTGAACAAGGTTTAGTGCTTGTTTTGACACATTAATATCACATCAAGAGGATACGTTTGCTTGGTAAATAGGTCTATGCTTTTGTTTTGCCATGATATGCAATGCCACCTCGACTTTGATAGCAATGGGGACGCACTTTTCCAATACAAATTATTAAGAGAGAGGGCCCAAAAAAAGAAAAGAAGAGAAAACCTAGACACCTCCAAAATTGGAAATATTAGTTGATACATTAGGTCGATAATAATTGGATACAAGTGAGATTAAATTATTGTATAATCGAGTTTAAATAGATTAATTTGAATAGAAAAATTATTATCTATCACAGATTGAGTTAAGAGTAACATATTTATTTTTTCAAATTTGATTATAAATAATAATTTTTACTTTTTAATTTTATAAATTACTTATTATTATTAATGTAACATTTTAAAAAATTCATTAATTATTTTAAATTTTATTTATGTTTTATGAGTTAACTTTTCTAATTCAAATGATAGAGAGATAGGGCCCAAAAAGAAACCCAAGAAAACTAAGAATTAAGGGCCCTTGCTGAAGCTCGCTACTAAGGCTAAAATAAGTGAAGAATCAGGTTCAATGGGCTTCCTAGGCTTGGGTGATCAATAAGTGGACTGTGGACTTAAGTCTTTGGATTAAATAGCATGGGCTTGGATTCCTCTTCCAAGGCTTAAACTTTGGAGGAGAAGTTTATCAAATGAGAATCGGATTTTCTTTTTCTTTTTTTTTTTTATGGTTGTATGATGCAAAATCTATTTTTTTTTTATTTTAAAGAAGAAGAAGAGGAGACGTTAGGAGAGAATC